CTGTGTGGTTACTAGTATGTTTTGGGATGGTTGCTATGTTGTTGCTGAGTAGTTGCCAGTGTGTTGTTAGGGTTTAAAGGGTTGTTTCCATGGCATTGTTGGTTTTAAGATGTTAGTTTTTGTTTAAGGTTTAAGATTTTCAGGGTGTTTTGGGGGGTTGCCATGACGTTGCTAGGGTGTTATGGGTGGTTGCCAAGGCATTGATATTGGTTATTAAAAACTGGGGAAAGGTTGGTGATTTACCTGAGGAAATGCCACTGCTATGATGCAAGAAAATTAGGGGAGGTTACCAGGGTGTTGCTCTGTGGTTGTTAATGTTGTCAGTACAATGCTGTGTGGTTACTAGTTTGTATTGGGTGGTTTCTATGCAGTTGCTAGGTGGTTGCCAGGGTGTTGTTAGGGTTTAATGCTGGGGTGTCAATAGTGGTTGCAGTTGCTAGTGTGATTTGGATGGTTGCTATGCTGTTACTAGGTGGTTTCTAGTGTCTAATGAGTGGTTGCCAGGCTGTTGTTAGGGTTTAATGTGCTGTTGCCGGGCTGTTGTTGTGGAGTTATGGTTGATCGCTAGGTTGTTGCTATGTGGCTGCTAACGTTTTCAGCACATTGCTGTGTTTGGGATGGTTGTTGTTTTGTTGCTGAGTGGTTCCCAGGGTGTTGTTAGGGTGTAATGGGTTGTTTCAATGGCGTTGCTAGGGTGTTATGGGTGGTTGGTTATGTATAATGTGTTGTTATATGTTTAAGGTTTGCAGCATAATTCTAAGTGGTTTCCAGGGTGTTATGGGTGGTTGCCAAGGCATTGCTATGTGGTTGTTAGGGTTTTTTGTGGATGCTATGGAATCTCCGCAGATTTCTGCATAAAATATATTCATATATTTAAACTATTTCTAAATATTTTGGTTAATTTGCTATACTTTCAGCTACCATTAAGAACTTAGTGCTCTCTGCGTCATTTAACACATTTTACCTTAAAAAGACCCTGGAAAACGGCTTCCTTTTGAAACAGGAAGTTTGTTGGGACATATACAGTGGGTTGTCTGTTTAGTTTTTGTTTTGTTTTGTTTAAGGCACAAAAATCACATTTTCTTGGGGTCTTTGAAATTCTTTTCACAGAACTCTGCAAGTTTTTACCCCAAAACCAGTGCAAACAAACAGATGTTTGCAGATTCATGCTCATGCTGTTTCACTAAGTTCCTGAAGGTTGTTTTTGTCACTGTCTTGCTTCCTTAATTAGCAAGTATCTGAGTTATTTGGCAGATTTACTGAGTCTGTTCCGGTTTGTGTCAGCAGAATCTAAACCTACAAACAGGAAAGACAGAGAATGAAGAGTAAACGTGTTTGCGCTTTGGCTTCGGACTCTCAATATCAGTGACGGCCAAGCTGTCCTCTCTCTGTGGAAATCACACATCTATCTCGCTGTTTCTGAGAAGTGCAGAGAGCATGATGTCATCGGTTTGAGGGTCCTCAGGGCCGCAGCCGAGTGAACGTTTTATGAGAACCAGCTGTGAGGAGGAGGAGAAACACAGAGTTAAAGCTGGCTCTCCTCAACATCTCGGTCACTGGAGTGCTGAACACCAGCGTTCGGCGCAGATACGTGACACATCACAGACTGAAAAACATTCCATTAAGAGCGATTTCATCACTGCACTACATGCAAAACATAAAACCATAAAAATCTGTCATTATTTATTAATCCTCATGTTGTTCCAGATGACTTTCATTCTTCTGTGGAACACAAAATAGTACATTTTAATTATGCACTGGTCACTCTTTTACATGCATTAAAGGTAGACTGAAGCTTTCAAAACTTTGCAAAAGCATAAGAAGAGTCATATGCAATGCGTTTATAATGCTTTTTTTGTCTGTTGTAGCTCAACATCCACTCATGAAAAACAGCTTCTCAAACATTCAGCTTTACATCTCATTTTGTCTTCTTCTGAAGAAAGCAAGTCATGAAGGTTTGGATGGAACAACGTGAGAGTGAGTGAATGATGACAGTTCAAGTGTATTTTTGAACACGATCCCTTTCATTGAACACTAAGACCTGTATTTGTAAGTTACCATGCAAGATTCTGGTATGCTCCCGCTGATGTCACGTAGGAAAACTGCGGATTTGACCTGCCCTTTGTGAATCTGACCCTTTGTTTGCATGTGTGTGTTCATGAATACATGCTGCATGTCCCATATGAAACCCTCCTACAATTCGGCTCCGCTGCAGGGTTTGGCTCACTAGGCTTGATCAGAGCGAGAGAGAATGACAGAGAAAAAAAAAAGATAAGATTTATAGCTAAACGCAAATGGTCTTCTATTTGCACTAGGTCGCCTCACACACACTCACATTTTACACTAATATAATGCTGTTATGTACAATAAATGTGACGAATCTACATTCTTTTGCTGAATCCAAGGGGATTTGAATAACTTGGAAGTTGGGATTATTAACTTCCCAACTTCCAAGTTATTAAAATCCACTTGGATTCAGCAAAAGAATACAACACAAACTCCTCACACTGCTCCACACACAAACACTCATACTTGTGCCAACTTCCCGTTAGCTTCTATTGTTCTTAATTCAAGTTAATTATTAGTGTTTTCAAAAAACCACGTGCATTTCTTTTTGCAGTTAACAAATTTTCCAGCTTTGCAGTCTTTTGAAGGATTTTATTGCATCATCATTTTGACTCCATACTGACACATTTCAGAATGCAATGATGTACAGAAAAGTTAAAAAGCCTTTGCATTCACATACACGCGTTGTCAGGGATTCATCACAGTCACTTCAGTCACCATCCAGGATAATTATCCGATTGTGTTGTGTTGACACTCACCTGCCTTTACCTCACCCGTTCCATTCTTCTGCTAACTAAGTCAATAAACCATCCTGTTTTGCACTTACCTGTTGTGTCTGGCCTTGCTTTGTGACACGCGTAGAATACAGAATTATAATGATTAATTTTGCAAGGGGATTGATTCATTTAAAAGAGTCATTTTAAATTTAATCAGGTTAAATTTGTATAATAAAAATAGTAATAATCATCATTATTTCTATCATTATTATTGTTAATAAATACTATTTAAATTTTATTATTTTTTTTTATTTAAAATTGCAATTACTATTTATTTTATTTTTCACATTATTCACAGCCCTTACAGACACTTTTTGGCATTTTGAGATTTTAATTAAGACATTATTTGTGCATTTCTAAACATTTTGGTTGGTTTAATAGTTCATAAGTGTAACAAAACAAGCACACAAACCATCTGTAACTGACATGTTTACTCTGCAGCAGTTATCGCACACACTAAAAGCTTTTCTGGTCTGCCGGAAAGAACCTTTTTCTGCATTCTTTAACTTAATAAGCGCAGATTGTGTCCGCTCTTCCTCTGTATCTGCTCTGTGTGTCTCTGGAATGATAAAGATCTGCTGTTTGGGGCTGTTAGTCGCTTGCATAACATTACTGATGGGTTCTGATGACCTTCACCATCCTTCACTCATATGATCTCCTAATAGCATTGTATACTAAGAATCTAAGTGTCTTAAATATTTGTCAGTACTGCATGTCCCTCAGAAGTGACCTCTGATATTTCAAATGCTTCTCCTGAGAAAGAGACCCCAGGAATCTCGTGTGTCTGTTTGATTTAATCCTGTTTCTGTTCAGAATAATGAACTTCCTGTCATCCAATCAGCTGAAGGGCATCAGGTCAGGGGGACGGACAAGTAAGGGGTCAAAACGTCCTTCAGGTTATATGGAGTTTTTTATTGGCCAGGAACAGATGGCTCACTTTCTCCATGTCACGCTTTATCTCACTGGGGTCACGTTTAACAATAGTGAAGAGAACAAAGACACTGAAAAGACCCTAAAATTAAGGTTATAAACAGCAACTGTCAGATTTACTGTTTGTGGCTATCAGGACGAGTTGGTTTTTAGTGGCGTGTACTAAGTTTCTATTGTTCATACTTAAGGTCAGTGATCTGAACAAACACCTAATCTCTTCAAATCATATAGCTTGTTCATGCAGATGTAAAACAATGTTTAAATGCTATTTAACACCTGCTTATGACCTGCTATAAATTATTGCTCTACATTTTACACCATGCTCAAACTTTGGCT